ACGTATGTAGGGTAATTTGGAACGAGACTGGAAAAATTAGGGACGATAAAACACAAAATTGGAACGCCAAAAGACAATATAGGGATGGATTGTTAGGGTTGTCACTGATATCTTATAATAGATTTTTTAGCCTATACTATCACTCAATTGCGTGATGTAAAGAAGGTTAATGTGTTTACCAGTTAGTTTATGTAAGTACTATAGGTAAAAGAAAAGTATATATATAATTACATTTTTTCGCGACATTTACCTTGTAATATCTACCCGGTCGTATGTCCTTTATAGCAATAAAATAAAATTAAAATTTGAAAAGAACTCAAACGAATCAAAACTTTTGTTATTTCAGAATCTATTCACGCGTCGAATCATGATTTTTTTAACATTCACAACGCACAGACAAATAAAAACAGGCCTCAGATTTTAAATGTAACATTAATTAAAAATCCGAGATATCTAGGTTCCAATTATGAGTGAGTGAATTAATTGAGTTTAGTTATTTAGCTTAGAAAGAATTTCTTTTATTTTTGTTATTATAGGCAGTAATCAGATAAATCTGCTTTTTTATCTTATTCACCTGATATCTTACTCTTGCTCAAAGATTATTTTGAAAATGTTGATTAAATAAAATTGTATTATTGCATTTCCAGTCCTTTTGTTTTCTATTTGTTATTCTATTTTATGATTTTGTTTCAGAGTTGTGATTTTTAAGGAAATTAAATAATAATTTTCTAAAATATAACATGCACATACTTTTTTTGATCATTGTATTGTTGATTATCATTCACGTCACATCGCTTCGGAATAGAAACCAGCTTAATTTACACTATGTTGTGTATTGTTCTTAAATAATGGATTGTATTCATCATTTCGGTCCATATAAATAATTGTAAGGCACCTACCTACCTACCTATATATCGCAGTACCGCGAACTGACAACCCTTACAAATATCCCAATTTAACCCTTACCCGTGTCAATTTACCCCGAATGCGGGGTAAATTGGGATGGCCATTATTTTTCCGATTATTTCTTTAAATTGAATAATTAAAATAATGTAACGGTTTTTATCACCTAGGTACGTTCAAGACTCAACTTATTTCTTTGGTTGAGCAGTGACTATTTAATTGGAACTATGTTAAAATTCAATCTGAAGTTCGATTTTGTCCCTATTTACCCCATTTTACGGTACCTATAATGCCTTCCTAAAAGACGGACACGAACCAGACGACAAGGAATGAATTGACGTTCTCATAATTGTACATAAGATAGACGACAAACAAACGAACCTACCGTTCATAAACAATAGTAATGTTTGCCATCTATGAATTCGTAAACTGTACATAATACATCTGATTACGATAAAGCTTGTTACAACTATTGTTGATACTCCAGAAAATCTTTCTGTTATAATATAGTACCAGTATTTTCTTGTCGTTTTCGTAACAAAAGGTTTTTTTAAATGAAGGGGTTGTCAGCTCCTTGCATAACCCCCGAGATGCAGGAGAATCACACCCTACTTTGGTCAGCGAACCCATTGAACTTAGCTGGCAGCTAGCTAGGCTGTACTACAACCACTCCCCCATCCAAAATTCCTATACGCCGTGAGGGCCAAGATGCTAAGTATGAACGCTTACTCAGAAAGAACAGACAAAACTTCTCATAACTGAGCGTAAGGTACTGCGAAAGATACTAGAACCAGTTCAGAGAGATAACGTTGCTTGGCGCCTCAAGAAAAACTAAGATGTGGAGAGGCTTTTCGGTGAGCTAAATCTTCTGATGAAGGTGCGGAGGCTCAAATGGGCATTTCGTGGAGATGGAGCAGAATCGGACTGCCAAACGGATGTACGCGGGTGTACCGGAAGGACGCTGCCCCGTAGGAAGACCCAAGTGTCGCTGGTCTGACGCTGTAAAAGCTGTGTGACGCTGTGTGGGTTGTGTCTATGGGAATGAAACACAGTGCCATTTCGCCATCAAATTATCTTCGAAGTGAACAAAAACAGAATTATAGCCAGTTCTATTTGGATATCTATCTATATAATATATAAAAATGAATTGCTGTTCGTTAGTCTCGCTAAAACTCGAGAACGGCTGGACCGATTTGGCTAATTTTGGTCTTGAATTATTTGTGGCAGTCCAGAGAAGGTTTAAAAGGTGAATAAATATGAAAATGCTCGAAATTGTATCAAAACCAACAATTTTGTTTTTCCTTTGATGTGTCCCCCGTCGGACGGATTCCTTTTGTTTGTTTTAAGTATACAAAAGTTTAGGCCTTTTATTTATCGATTGAGGCACTACGAAGTCTGCCGGGTCAGCTAGTAGCTTATAAAAATTATGTAGGTAATCCATTGCCTAATAAATGAAAAACTATGCTAAAAAATAAACCTGCTCAGCGGTTGTACAATTATAATCGGGTACTATAAGACTGCAACGGTTTAATTTGTTAATACATTTAAAAAAAAAAACGATAAGACTCCTCAATCACGGGCAGTTCTTTGTTTAAAAACTTCCCTTAATATTGTTTCGAGGGAGATTCGTTAAAAGAAAAATAACTTATTTAATCTAACTTTCGAGAATTTTCGAGATAAGTATCTCTATCTCATTAAAATTATTAGATCAGAGAGGGAGGACGATACTTCAGTTGAGGTACTCAATTAAAGTTTCATTGCCTTTCAGATACACTTGTTTCCAGGAAATATTTGCAAACAATAATAGAGACATTCAGAGGATGATATTGTTTATGGCGGAGCGAAAATTTTATGGTACCATTTTCCTCGTTTAATTAATGATCTTTATTCTTCCAGTGGTTTCAGACGCGTCTTATCGGAAACTATACAAAATATGTGGCATCAAAAACGGCCTAAGCGTGAAGCTGATGGTTCTGACCCAGTGGGATATTCCGTAAGATAACCCACTCTAACCGGCTCAGTCTAGGGGGGCTTCGGATAACCTGCCAACCGAGAGGACTGGTGGTCCAGCATCCCGGTTCGAATGCCGACGCATCGCTAGATACGAATGCGACCGACGTCTTATCCTTTGGGCCACGACTACTTTAAATTTGACGATTCCCAGTGTTATGGGTACCTCCTCCTCCTACTCGCGCCATTTTCCTCATCACTGAGGATCGTGACTCCCCCGCTGCATCAGTTTCTCCCGTACGATTTCCCTCCATCTGCTGCGATCCTTAGCTTCATGAAGAGCATTGTAGGCCACTCGTGGGACTGCGTCCTCTGGGACGTTTCCCATCTACCTTGCTTGTCACCATCAGCTGTTCAAAATTGTGACCCTCTTTACCAGCAATATGTCCAAAGAATTCCAGCACCCTACGAAGTCATATAGTGGAAATAGTTATGGGTACCAGAGACTGATAAACATACTTAAATATGTTTACCTATACACCTACCTATACACATATAGATAATAAGACCAAGATCAAACAAACCCGTTCATCACACTATGCTTGCGCGATGTGGGAATCGAACCCGCGACCCTCGGCGCAACAGCTAGGGTCACTAACTACTGCACAACCAAGTCAATCGGTGTTTTTTAGCAATGCCTACAAAGTTTATCATGTCATCCTCATGTCCTTTTGGCTCTGCCCCTGGCATTGCTGAAGTCCATGGGCGACGATAACCACTCAGCATCAGGTGGGCCGTATGCTCGTCTGGCTACAAGGGCAATAAAAAAAAAGTTTAATGAAAAGTCCAAAACATTAAAACTCATTTATAGATCATAAATTAAAATTAACAAACATAAATAAAAAAATATGAAAGCAATAATTTACATTCGACAATATTCGATAACGCTAAAATATTGTTTCGAAAAACTTCCAATAATAGTCAATAATAGTCCAATAGACTAATCGGATAAGCCTCAGTTCAATAGTGGTCATTGAAAGATTGTTATCTATTAGCCTCATCGTCGTCACCTCATCTTCCAAAGTTCTATACTCTTTTTTATCAAAAAAAGTGCACTAAATTGAAATGTAACCTCAACACTACAACGCAAACAATGAATGTATATTGTAAAACAAACAACACGGGCGTTTTATAGTATGCAGTGACGTCATTAAATATTACTTCCATCACAAATACAAAACTAGGAACAAACAATTTTATAACACAATTAAAATATAAAATTTTCACCACACCTCCACCACTAGGTCCTTGATGCGTGTGTAAATTTTTTACCTAATCAGACGTCATGAAATCAGCGAAAATTACGTTCAAAGATTTACATATATACACCATGTGACCAAAAATCCCTTGGATATGAAAGTAGATGGTAATATGAGGAGATGGGTCGTCCCAAAAAGGCCTGGATGAACTGTGCGAAACAGGGTTCTTTTTATTGCTTAGATGGGTGGAAGAGGTCACAGCCCACCTGGTTTTTGAGTGGTTACTGGAGCCCATTAACATCTATAACGTAAATGCGCTACCCACCTTGAGATATAAGCTCTGAGATATAAGCTCTAAGGTCTCAGTACAGTTACAACGTCTGTCCCATCCTTTAAACCGAAACGCTTACTGCTTCACGGCAGAAATAGGCAGGACGGTGGTACCTACCCGTGCGGACTCACAAGAGGTCCTACCACCAATAAAGAGGTCCTACCACCAGTATGCGAGCGAATGGATATGTGAGTGCTGAGATGGTCCGAATTGAAAAATACGACATGCTGCGTCAATTCCACACAGTAAGATAAGGTAAGGACCAGACAACAAACATACATTTGTACCAAGTCGGGTTAATAAGGAACGCAATATTCAATCACAAAGTAGTTTTAATTCAGAACATTTCAGTCCACTTTTACGTTTGTACGCGTCTTCGTTATAGCTGTTAGATCGGTAGCTTTCTGCCAGCAACCTTTATGACCTTAGGCAAGTAGGAAGTGATTCTCCCAATCAACATGTACAATAAATTAAAAATAAATCATCATGAACACATCCTAATTCTCATCATATTACGTAAAGCATTTTATCGAAACATCATCACCCTGAAACGGCTTTTAATCATCTTGCTCGTCATCATCATCGCCAATAGGTTGGATATTAAATCGGGATGAATGCTGAGTGTGTAACTCTTGGGGTTCTTCAACGTCCGGTATCCTGTATACCATTAGAGCAGCACCATAATTCCCTTCGCCGGTATCGCAGAAAACCATCTATGGCAACAAACAATATTTGTTTAATTTAAAAATGAAGTTTCGTGAAAACATTTCTATGAACAAATTTGTTTATCCTTGTCGAAGCATTTAACGTATATTTAAACGTAAGCAAATAGTATTATACTTACTGGTGGTAGAACCTCTTGTGAGTCCGCACGGTTAGGTACCACCACCCTGCCTATTTCTGCCGTGAAGCAGTAATGCGTTTCGGTTTGAAGGGTGGGGCAGCCGTTGTAACTATACTGAGACCTTAGAACTTATATATCAAGGTGTGTGGCGCATTTACGTTGTAGATGTCTATGGGCTCCAGTAACCACTTAAGACCAGGTGTGCTGTGAGATCGTCCACACATATAGGCAATAAAAAAAAAAAAAATCTGGTCCTAAGCTTCGATTCGCTGTACTATGGGAAACTAATATACATTTTTTTATTGGATAGATGGGTGGACGAGCTCACAGCCCAATGGGCGTTAAGTGGTCACCGGAGCCCATAGGTATCTACAACGTAAATGCGCCACCCACCTTGAGATATAAGTTCTAAGCTCTCAGTATAGTTACAACGGCTACCCCACCCTTCAAACCGAAACGCATTACTGCTTCACGGCAGAAATAGGCGGGGTGGTGGTACCTACTCGTGCAGACTCACAAGAGGTCCTACCACCAGTGACTTTACTTCACTCTGATGTTTTACTTTAAATGATAATTTATTGTAAGCCCACAAAAAAAAATATAAACAAGTTATGAATAAAATTTAATCCTTTTATTGCTGAGCTTATTTTCACATATTTTGCAGAAATTGCTATAGAATTTAAAAAAAAAGTGTCTTAAACATCCGTCCGTCCAATTTTCGTAAAAAGGGATACAAAGTTTTTGCTTCATGTATTAATATATAGATTCCAATTTTACCTCTCAATTCCCAATCACAGCTCACCTGATTGTCAACCAAATATCTGATATAATAAATTTCATTTAGTTTCTTGAAGCCTAATTCATCGGCTATCTGTTGCAGCCTTCCCGTTGTGAATATTCCTGATACAGCAGGTACATTAGCACTCGCGCTCAATGCTATCGCGGCTTTTATCAGTTCTTTTGCTATACCTGGAATTAAATAATTAGATATACCAATGATACGAAAATATTCACCAACCTAAAAAAATCCAAATTATCTTCACATGTGAATATTCGCGATCAATAATTATTATCTTATTACTTTGTATACTAGAGCCACGAATCTATAGACTGATTTTAAAATTACCAGATAAATATTGAAAATTAAAAACTTTTCTTTGAAATTACTTAAATGAATTAATTTTTTGTCTGGCCATAGCAAAAAAAAACAGGCCTTAAACATTTTTATTTTGATACAGGGAGCGGACGGTTTGGCCACACAGCGAATTACACGGATTGTCTATTTGAGACTGTTTATATCAAGCGCTTTATATGCGAATGAATGTGCCTTAGTTTTTTACTAGCTGCAGAACCTAAATCAAACTTTGGTGCCAAGTGCTTGGCGCAATCAGACAATTACGGCCTGGCCACGGGGATCGGCGGTGCGAACAGCGAAGCGGTGGGCGAGGCGACCATTCGCGCAGCACCGTTTGCAGGCCACGGGTACTCACGTTCGCCGCCGCGACTAGTAAGGAAGTCCGACAGCGAAATGTCTATATCGAAATTATCTCGATATTGCTTACAAATTAATAGTTTTTTGGTTCAGGACCTATTATTTGGAAAAGATTGTGAAGTACATGATTTGAATAAGAATCGGAGTATACCTATAGATGGAGAATTCCACAAGAAGTACGAGAAATACTTTGGGTGGCTAGACTTCCAAATAGCTGGTCTAGCTAGTATTTCAGCTATTTTATTTTTTTATTGCTTAGATGGGTGGACGAGCTCACAGCCCACCTTGTGTTAAGTGGTTACTGGAGCCCATAGACATCCACAACGTAAATGCGCCACCCACCTTGAGATATAAGTTCTAAGGTCTCAAGTATAGTTATAATGGCTGCCTCACCCTTCAAACCGAAACGCATTACTACTTCACGGCAGAAATAGGCAGGGTGGTAGTACCCACCCGTGTAGACTCACAAGAGGTCCTACCACCAGTAATTACGCAAATTATTATTTTGAAGATTTCATTTTTATCACACGATGTTATTCCTTCACCGTGGAAATCAATCGTGAACGTTGAGTGTTGTTGAGTACGTATTTCATTACAAAAATTGGTACCCGCCTGATATTCGAACACCGGTGCATCGCTCAACACGATTGCACCGGACGTCCGTTAGGCCACGACGACTTTAAAAATATAAAATAAAAAATAAATAAAAAATATAAAAATTTCGGCGTTAATTTTTCGCGGCGAAAACAACTAAACTCATTTAATCACTGCACTATTCGCCGCGACTACCGCTCGACTCCGTGGCTCGCGCCGTCCGTATTCATGCATTTGTTTTGCTCGCCCGCCGCATCGCGCGATTCGCTCGGTACATTTCGCCGGTCGCTTCGCCGGTCGCCGGTGCGCGTGGCTTGTTAGGTACATTTCTATGCGCTTGTTTTAGTCGCTAGACGCTTCGCCGTTCGCACCGCGCGAATATTCGCATCGGCGAATGTCCCGTGGCCAGGCTGTTAGGAATCTTCGCTCACGCGGTTGAGAAAGTCAAAAGTGACACTAACACATTATTTAATTATTATTTTTTATTAATTAGATCGGTGGACGAACTCATAGCCCACTTGGAGTTAAATGGTTACTGTAGCCCATAGACATCTATAATGTAAATGCGCCACCGACCTTGAGATATTATAAGTTCTCAATATAGTTACAACGGCTGCCCCAGCCTTCAGACCGAAACGCATGGCTGCTTCACGGCAGAAATATAGAAATAGACTCACAAAAGTTCCTACCACGAGTAAAAAGCATTTAGAATATGTTCTTCGGTTTTCAGTGAGTACAAGGAAAATAGAAAAAAATACAAACAAATTAAAACGTAATAAAACATGAAACACAATACCTAATTTTCGGTGCAATGAACTAAGACCCATTTAAAATAAAACAAATTAACCTCACGACCGGGTGATCTCGTGACTCAAGCTTATAAGTGCGGCCCATATTTTTCCCCTGTTTAGATCAAATCATAAATCTTTTTATTAATTTACCATAACATTTACATTAACCTCAATAAAAGAAAATATTAGGGGTTAAAGTATAAAGTAAAAAGTATGAAATTGCCGATTTGTACTGAAAAATTTAAATTAGTTTTTTTTTTTCATTTAACATATTTATTTAACCAAAATATTTATACATTGCTGCCATCTAATAGGAAATCTGGTGATCTAGAATCTACAAACTATGTGAAAGCATTTTGTACTGCCTCCTGGGAAGAAAACTTTTTATCACGTAGAAAATTGGTCAAATCACGAAAAAAATGGTAGTCCGTTGGAGCAAGGTCTGGCGAATACGGAGGGTGACGAATGGTTTCTAATTGCAGTTCCTGTAGAGTTAAAACGGCTTCTCGTGCTGTATGAGGTCTCGCGTTATCATGGAGCAATAATTGTGAAGATCGATTCATGAGTCGGGGCTGTTTAACTGCAAATTTTGCTATCATTGTTCGGAGTTCGGTACAGTGGACATCTGCCGTTATTGCTTGACCAGATCGCAGAAAGCTATAGTGAATGACGCCATGTTGAGACCACCAAACAGCTACCATTACCTTTTTATTGTTAAGCCTTGCTTTAGGACACTGTTGCGGCGTTTGACCTGGAGTCAGCCATTGCCTTTTTCGCTTACGGTTATCGTAAAGAATCCACTTTTCATCACATGTCACAATATCGATCCAATATTCTTTCATTTCTGTATCGATTCAACAAGGCAACACAAGTTTCAATACATGTTTCTTTCTGCAGATCAGTGAAATCATGAGGCACCCATTTTTCATATTTTTTTTATTTTATTGATTTGACGTAAATGAGTCAATATCGTTGGTAAGGTAACGTTAAGCCATGCCGCTAATTCCTGGGTAGTTTGGCTCGGATCGGCTTCCAAAATCTCTTTCAATTAATTAATTGTTATTCACATGTGTGGGTGATCTTCCACGTGGTTCTTTCTTCAAATCAATATTTCCATCACGAAAGCGTTTAAACCAAAATCGCACGGTGCGTTCAGTAGCACACTGATATGGCGAGGTGTTTCTGCAGCGTTAGCGCTCTTCGCCGATGACACCGCCATCTACTACTCGTGTAGGAAGAAGGCGTTGCTTCATCGGCGACTTCAGACCGCAGCTACCACCATGGGACAGTGGTTCCGGAAGTGTCGCATCGACATCAAGCCCACGAAAAGCACAGCGGTGCTCTTGAAAAGAGGTCGCCCTCCGAACACCACGCTGAGTATCCCTCTCCCGACTAGGCGCGTCGACACCTCCGCCTCCGCCATTGGCCCAATCACGATGTACCACCAGCCCATACCGTGGGCCCCGAAGGTCAAATATCTAAAGGATGAGATTCCGCCCTCATATAAAGACGGTATGCGACCGTACCGCCTTCATTCTAGGACGTCTCTACCCGATGATATGTAGGCAAAGTAAAATGTCCCTTAGAAATAAGGTGACACTCTACAAAACTTGCATACGCTCCGTCATGACCTATGCAAGTGTAGTGTTCGCTCACGCGGCCCGCACTCACCTAAAATCCTTCCAAGTTATCCAATCTCGTTTTTGCAGGATAGCCGTCAAAGCCCCGTGGTTCGTCAGGAACGTCGACCTCCATGACGACCTGGACTTAGAGTCCACCAGTAAGTATATGCAGTCGGCGTCGATGCGCCACTTCGATAAAGCGGCACGACACGAGAACCCTCTCATCGTGGCCGCCGGTATCTACATTCCCGATCCTGCGGAAAGTAATGAAAGCAGTCGACGTCGCCCAAAACACGTCATCTCGAATCCCCCCGATCCACTAACGGTGCTTCTAGGTACTTCAAGCACCGGTCACCGTTCTCGTCTAACCCGTCGCTTGCGACGAAGGGCTCGACGAGTAAATTAACTCTCAGACACAGCCCACTGAGTTTCTCGCCGGATCTTCTCAGTGGGTCGCGTTTCCGATCCGGTGGTAGATTCCGCGAAGCACGGCTCTTGCTAGCGTTCGTGTTAGCATCATCGTCAGGTTTGAGCCCCGTGAGCTCACCTACTAGTTAAGGTTCCGCTGGAATAGCCTCTCTAGGCTACCAGATAAGGTAGGAGAAAAAAAAAAGCATCATTAGTTCCACGTAGTTTTGTTTTTGTTAATATTTATAAATATAGTGTAGTCTTATTTTATTATTGTTTTAATATTGAATTATTATTGTCTAATTATAATTGCATAAGTTGATAAAAATGCTATGCAATAGCTTTACCGCGGCAGTCCCCGAGTGCCACACTTGTTCTTTTTATGCTTATATGGGTAGACGAACTCACGGCCAACCTGGTGTTAAATGGTTACCGGAGCCCATAGACATCTACAACGTAAATAATGCCACCCCCTCAAGTGATGAGTTCTAATGTCTCAATTTTTACAGTACATCGGCTGTCCCATGTATGTTTTTAAGTATGATTGTTGACAATCAACTCTCACTCACCTCTGTGCCTGTAACGATTCTTCAAAGCGACTATATAAATCTTGAAGTATCTCCGCACGCCGAGCGCTTCGTAAATACACACCGGCTTCTCAACTTCGTTGTAAAATTTCATTACTGATGTGTAGAGCTCGTTGTGAGTTATCTTTATGCGGCTGAACGTACGCGAAAATGCACCTTCGGTTAGAAAGAAAACGGATTATAGTAGCTTGCGCTGGCTGTTTTGCGCGCAACGAAAGCCGGTCTTACGTGATGATAGTTTTAAGTCTCCTCTTCAAACAAACGTACGGAGGTGGTGATTCGAATCAAATTTAAATTTTAATAATTCAACTGTCTTCGTTTTCAGAAATGTTTCAATTGTTTATTACATTATTTTAGTTTAGTAATTTTTTTAAATGGCTTTTATCACAGCCCACCTGGTTGAAGTGGTTACTGGAACCCATAGACATCTACGACGTAAATGTGCCACATACCTTGAGATATAAGTTCTGAGGTCTCAAGTATAGTAACAACGGCTGCCCCACCCTTCAAGCTGAAACGCATTACTGCTTCACGGCAGAAATAGGCAGGGCGGTGGTACGTACCCGCACGGACTCACAAGAGATCCTACCACCAGTAATTTCCTAGCCTTACATACTTGTGCTAGTTTTATTATTTACAGTTACAGTTTTCGTGGTCACGTTAACAGACCAAGGTGTTAATTGTAGAAGTTTGAATATTGTGCTAACTACCGTCTGTTTTTGTATAAAAATATTTATAAACTTTTCCTTTTTTGTGTTTTTGAGTGCTTCACAGAAGCTACCACCGGATCGGAAACGCGACCCACTGAGAAGATCCGGTGAGAAACTCAGTGGGTTGTGAAGGCTATCGATGAGAACGCTTACCCATATCATTATTAATTTAAGTAGTTTAGAAAATAAAAAAAAACACGCTTACATAGAAAACCAAAGAAAAATCAATCTTTTGGTCAGGACATTACGAAAGTATAAAATGTAACAAAATTATTATACTGTCATTAATCTTTGATGATTACTTATAAGTTAATCGGACTTCTTGGAGTCGTTAAAAAATACCACTCAAAGATGCAAACAAACATACAAAGCAAAATCGATGAGTATATTTGTTTTATCGAGTATTCATTCACCTACGCGGTTATTTTCTTTTAAAAAGATCTCAAACGTTAACCTCATGTAACATAACGAGCAGTCAGTATGTACCGTTTTGTATCGATACCATCAGCATCCCCCTAATATAGACCTACCCCTATCGACTACTTCGAATCCAATTTACGTACAAGAAACAGCGCGTGAGCTATGAAAGAAAAGCGATTAAAAGGTTTTTAAATTTCTTTTTTTTTTTCAATGCTTCGTCTACTTGAATCTTTAAAATTAAAACATTATTATACTGATTTTAAGCAGAAAACTAGATGAGATATGCATTAGCTACATATTAACATTGTTACTAGCCACTTTGATTGCAGTAATGGAACAGACTAAATTACCATCGCGATTAATAAAAATTAAATGTCGAATCTAACCCACATCACAAGAACAAATAAGTTTGAAAATAAAATGGACTTCCAATATATCAAATGATACTCTTATTAGCCAAATCTATACTAATATATAAATCTACAGTGGCTTTTACGGATGTTCCGTTATAACTACTGAACCATGCATCCGCAATTGACTTGAAACTTGGTATCTATGTAGAATGAGTGTTGGACTCCCTACAACGGTTGCAGGGGCATTAATGATGAGAATCTTTGTGGGGGGTGAGAAATATATATATTTTTTTTATTGCTTAGATGGGTGGACGAGCTCACAGCCCACCTGGTTTTTAAGTGGCTACTGGAACCCATAGACGTCTACAACGTAAATGCGCCACCCACCTTGAGATATCAGTTCTAAGGTCTCAGTACAGTTACAACGGCTGCCCCACCCTTCAAACCGAAACACATTACTGCTTCACGGTAGAAATAGGCAGGGCGGTGGTACCTACCCGCGCGGACTCACAAGAGGTTTTACCACCAGTAAAACTTCCAAAACAAAACAAAACAAAAACTTACTTTATTATAAACTAGCTGATCCGCAGGCTTTGTAGTGCCTCAATCGATAAATAAAAGACCTAAACTTTCGTATAAAATAAACTTGAAACAAACAAAAAAAATCCGTCCCACTGAGGGCACATCAAAGGAAAAACAAAATTGTTATTTTTATATAATTCCGAGCATTTTCATATTTATCTACGCTTTAAACCTTCTCTGGACTTCCACAAATAATTCAAGACCAAAATTATCAAATCGGTCGAGCCGTTCTCGAGTTTTAGCGAAAATAACGAACAGCAATTCATTTTTATATATAAAGAAGATAGAAGATCATTAAATATTGCAATCGCTTATATCTTACAAATTGGGCCACACAAAAAAATCGTACGAGCTGAATCGGAATTCTCTTTACGGATGCAGTAAAAATTTAGGCTCAAAGGCATTCAAGGAATCCACCTCCTAATGTTACGGCCAACGTACGGATGGAAATCGAGTTTTATACGGATAGATAGTCAAATAGATTCTGTTTGGAAACATAATGGACTGGGGCGTGTCTTAGATAATGCTTTAGTGAAATTTTAAATCTATTTAACGGATTGTATTTGGGTTATTTGTGTTGAATCAAATCAAATCAAATCAAAATCAAAAATTTTTTATTCAACATAAATGAAAGTACATACTTGTTGAACGTCAAAAGAACTACCGCCAATTCACAAGAACTAGCCTCCGTCCTGAGAAGAATTGGCAAGAAACTCAGCGGGCATGTTTTTTTCTTCTTTTTTTTTAATATGAAATATATATTTTTTTTTAATATTAGATTTTTTATAATATATAAATTTAATAAATAAATTTAAATAGTAGATCATTATATAAATATTTGTAAATGTTTTGGTACAGATTATTCAAATTGATGTGTGTTATCTGTGCAACTGTGCGAATGTAGACTGATGTGACTTGAGAGCAAATATAATTCATTGTGTCCTTGATAAGAAATCTGATTAGAGTTTTATTGAAACTAGAGGTCCCGCAGTAGTCGAAATTCGACTATAATTAATTGGAATTGTAAGCTTGTACACTATTATGATTGTATTTTATACTTCTATAATCAAAAATTTCGCCAAGACTACACTATAAAAAATATTAACAAAGACAAACAATATTTAATCTATTCTCCATATGACAACAGATATCAAGAACAAAAGCTTGACAATAAATAGTATGCATGTGTGTGTGTGCGTCAAATACATGGAATGTAGTGTGTGTAATGTTTTCTTTATTGATTTAATGTATCTTTTATGCATTATTTAAAAAAAAAATTAGCATTGTGCACTTCTTCTCTATATTCTCTATAAGTGTGGAAAATTTCATACTCCTCCGTCCGCACAATTTTCGTAAAAAGGGATACAAAGTTTTTGCTTCACGTATTAATATATAGATACTACCAAATTCCAATAATTTGGCGTTTTAGAAATCACACAAACCACAGTCAAGTCTCAACACATTTAAGCATTTCTCGCAATTACTAAGAGATATCAATGCACGCTCTCTTTCTTCTTAAAAAAGGGTTTTAACTACAATTTTATGTAGTGTATCTATTACACTAATGTCTATGGGTTTCAGCTACTAACTTAACACCAGATGAACGGGCAGTTCTTAATTGACTTATCTATGCAACAAAATAAATAATAGTTTAAAAAAACTAACAAAATACGCTTTTATAGAAAATCCAACTAAAAACTAGAAAATAAATTTGAATAAATTTCAATTAAAAATAGCGTAATAAAAAGTGATTTTATTGTATAATAAAAAAGCGTGGGGTGCTTTTCAGGATATTATCAAAATGACCCTTCTACTCATATCTGTTCATAAAATATTTATAGCTACTGATACCAAGCACCCCACGCTTTTTTTACAATAAAATTACTTTTTCTTACGCTATTTTTAATTGATTATTTATTTTTCATTTTTTAGTTGAATTTCAATTTTTCTTTTAATATTGAATTGTCATCGATCCTTAATAAGTATACCAAATTTTGAGTTAATTCGACGTTTTGAAGGGGGTCAAAATCATGTTCAAAGATTCCGTAACATATAATATACGTCTGAAGCTAATAAAAGTGCCTTAAAAAGTCCTTTTGCCAGTCGAAAATAGCGCTAATAATGTTAAATACAAGATTGAAACTAACATTTCTCTTGTATCCTCATGATGAGTATTCCGACGAGCTGGTCCGTTCCCTCCTTGACGGCGGCTATAGACATCTTATCCTTCATCCAGATCCTCAAATTGTGTGTGAACTCATCGGTGCCCTCCCTGTCTTCGGATAATTTAACTGATCTGTACGTTACCTAGGATGATTAAAAGCATTTCATTAAAAATTCGTTAAAGTCCAAAATCAAAAAGATTCAAAACGAGACACACTTGATTTAAAAAAAAAAGATGTGTGGTGTCGTGGGACAACGGATAGGAACGAAGTTCCTTATTATAAAAATATTAATTTTAAGTTCTATTCTAGGTATAAAGAAAATAAAACTTGAGGTTTCGCAACAACCCACGGTCATTCGGTAACGTGCGAACTTATTGTGGTACACTTCATTCACGGTTGTTTGCATAAGAGTTAGTGTATAGCGCAAACGAACGCTCTGAGATCGTGGTCAATGAATGATAAAAAAATATGTTATTTTTTGTACGTTATTACAAAGTGAAGTCGTACACTTTGTGTATTACTAATTTGTACGTTATTACAAAGTTAAGTCGTACACTGTGTGCATTACTAATAAAAATCTTACCGAGCCGTGAGCTCGTTCACCCATCAAAGCAATAAACAATAAATAAAAACACGGACGAGCGAGGTGTTAATTCGTTAAAATTTGAAAAATTTCCCAATACCGTCTATATGTCTATAAAAAATTTATTATTAAAGTCTAAACTTTTACGTTTCATTTCACACATAACGAACTAATAGTATCTTGGGTTCTGGCAGTTACTTTGACTGTGATTTTCATCTTCGCGATAGCAGGATCAGATCTGTTAGATAAATCCTTGAACTTTCTCGTTGCCTTAACGAGCAATAAAGGCATAGCTGACCGAAGGATTGACTCTGACTTACTGTTCCATAATTTAGTTGTAAATCAACAAAAAACATCTATATATTAATATGTGAAGGAAAAACTTTGTATCCCTTTTTACGAAAATTGCGCGGACGGAGGAGTATGAAATTTCCCACACTTATAGAGAATATAGAGAAGGAGTGCAGAATGTTAATTTTTTTTTTAAATTATGCCTAAAAATACATTAAATCAATTAAAAAAACATTACACACACTACCATGTATTTGACGCAACACGCATGCATACTATTTATTTATTGTCAAACTTTTGTTCTTGACGTCTGTGGTCAAATTGAGAATAGATTAAATATTGTTTGTCTTTGTTAATATTTACCTAAAGTGTAGTCTTGGCGAAATCTGTGATTACGGAAGTATAATAATTCTTTGACAATAGAATCATAAGAGTGTACAAACTTATAATTTCAATTAATTACAGTTGAATTTCGACTACTGTGGGACCACTAGTACAAAAAAATTGTTCAAAAGAGGAAAGAGAAAACCACGAAAAACGAAGTTTCTTAACAGCCTTGACTTATATAAAAAACACATTCATAGAAATTAAAAAATTTGTAATATAATATTCTCGCTGGAGTAACAAACGCAGACTGAAATACCCATTGCTTTCGCCTTGGCTGCTTAATTAAGAAACTGCCTAAGAAAAAAGATGAATTGCCCGTTCGAAAAATCTTAATTTACTTAATTAAGGTATTTTGTGCTTGGAAAGAAGTGACCGAAAAGCAATCAGTAAGATATAGGCTAGGGTTACTTTTATCGCGATTATGGTAAAAATAATCAATTGAAAATAAAACTTTTTTTTAATTGCTTAGATGGGTGGACGAACTCACAGCCCACCTGATGTTAAGTGGTTACTGGAGCCCATAGACATCTACAACGTAAATGCGCCACCCACCTTGAGATATAGATTCTAAGGTTTCAATATAGTTACAACGGCTGCCCCACCCTTCAAACCGAAACGCATTACTGCTTCACGGCAGAAATAGGCAGGGTGGTGGTACCCACACGTGCGGACTCACTAGAGGTCCTACCACCAGCTATTTATACAATACTATTATTCTGTAAGTACAAGAATGTACTTGAGTTTCCGGAGTTATTTTTTTTATGAAGGAATTACGAAGGATTACGGTTGAACCGAAGGCCTTTCCAGTTTCACCAAGACAGGTGGGCGAGCACGGGCTCAGCCAGGAGGTGTGGGATTTTCCAACAGCTGCCTGAGTACCTCCGAAGGAGACCTAACAGCTCAAAGGCAGCTTCGCGAATACGTCTACTATCAGATCGGAATCGCAACCCGCTGAGAAGATCCGGCAAGAAACCCACCGGGTTGATGTATGAATTAGGATGCACGTCGCACTTTTTATAGAGTTCAACGAGTACGGTTGCCAGTGTCCGTAAGCCCGCTCCTAGTGTTGGAGCTGAAGGCATCTATTGCAAGTGTTATTGGATTCCAGAAAGTATCATTTGCCAATACGAAGGGATCCGTGGATGTCGCCAGCATCTTCGTTTCCACAGTAAGCGACTCGGTTGGTAGGTCCTTGGTATTTCTGCTATCCATAAATTGTCAATTACAGTGACTACCTACCATTAGGTAGGTGGTATGGTCTTACGCCAATAATAGCAATAAAAAACCTTTTATTTTATCTAAACCATTCGTTGTGTCTTTTCTTGGTCGCGAGTCGTAAATTTAATGAAGTTTAATCTTACGTTTATCAATTTCTATATATTACATATTATATACAAACATTTCTATTATTTTGCGAATATCAAACTAGTACATATTTCTGTGAACTTACACACTACAATCTAAGTTAGTGACTAAGTAATAAGTTATTTCCAAAAACTTTAATCGCTCCCATTCGAACCCCACCCAAGCCCACTCGAAAAATACTTGAAATATCTTTTAGACTTTTTTTAATAAACTGCGCTATAAGCTCCACCAAGAGAATAAAATTTGTATTTAAAAAATCTTCGCTTTTCTCGATTAGTTTCAGTAATTTGTTTGAAATCCCTAACTAAAGCTCTCAACTGGTTTGGTTCGATGGGCATTTGTTTATCCGAACGGAATGTGAGCATGTGTCTAGAAGTTCTTGTTCGTCGATTATAATTTCTTTTGTTAGAAAGCGTTTTGGGCGTTCAAATTGGAATGCTTTGAAGTATTTTAATGAAAAACGTTTTAATGAAACTTGATACTCAAACTGAAGATAGTAACCTTCGGAACATTAATGCTGTTAAAAAATGATTGAAAGTTTACTGGTGGCCCGAAGGCCTTTCCAGTTTCACCAGGACAGGTGGGCGAGCAAAGGCTCAGCCAAGAGGGGTGGGATTTGCTAACAACTGCCCGAGCGCCTCCGAAGGAGACCTAACAACTCAAGAGCAATTGTTTCGCGAATGAATCTACTACCGGATCGGAATCGCGACCCGCTGAGAAGATCCGGCGANGTACCACGAACACAGAAACAACAAAAGGAAACAAAACAAATAAAAACTTCCAGAAAGAGCACTTAGTCGGCAGATGTACCACAAACACAGGCCGCGCGAACAATGGCCGGGCTAACAAAAGCCGGGCGAACAAAGACCGGGCGATCGAGTGGACGATGAGCACGTCCGCACGTGACGGGTGCCTCTATCGGAATGCTGTTGAATTGTGGGAAAGAGTAGCTAATACTATCGGACATAGCCTTTTTTTTTGTCAAGAGGAAATGGCCAGACTTCCGCCTTCTACTGGGGATGGAGGGCGGGGCATGTCGGAGTCGAACTGACTAAAACCTCCAGTCACTCTCCACTTCGATAAAGCGGCACGATACGAGAACCCTCTCATCGTGGCCGCCAGTAACTACATTCCCGATCCTGCGGAAAGAATGGAAAGCAGTCGACGTCGCCCTAAGCACGTCGTTTCGGATCCTCCCGATCCACTAACGGTGCTTTTAGGTACCTCAAGCACCGGTCATCGTTCTCGTCGAACCGTAAATTAACCCTCAGACACAGCCCACTGAGTTTCTCGCCGGATCTTCTCAGTGGGTCGCGTTTCCGATCCGGTGGTGAATTCTGCGAAGCACGGCTCTTGCTAGGGTTCGTGTTAGCAACGTCATCAGGTTTGAGTCCCCTGAGCTCACCTACTAGTTAAGGCAACGCTGATATAGCCTCTCAAGGCTATCAGCGTAGGTAGGGAAAAAAAAATATGTCGCTCAACAACCCACGTCCGAACCTCGCATGAGACAGAACTAATGAAAAGGCAAAGGGGGGAGAGTGAAGCGTTTAGTGCGACGCACATCTCTCCCATCACTCTCCCCCTCGGGACGCCGGGCCAGCGATCGTCGGCGCCACGACCACCAGCCCATCGGACATAGCCTAGCATGTTCGCCATTTTACTTTAAACAGCAGTAGTTTAATCTTAACTTTTACATGCTACTTTTATTTGAAATTACAAATAAAACAATACATAAATCGATTTTACAAACAAAAGTTTCATGTAAATTATTTACCGCAAAAAATACCTCAAAATTACTCACGTAATTTAACGATAATACTAGATATAATAATTCCTAAGTCTCTTTATCATGTTTTGTTGTTATTATTGCGTTGTATAACTTAGAGTTTGTTGTAGCTGGCTCTATATTAAATTCATAGTGCGACATTCATTATTATTTTTATACATTTGGTTCGGGAAAAATACAGTTGGTATATTGTTTTTTCCAAATTATCTATCGTTATTATTTTGGAAGCTAGTTTCTATTTATCTTATCTTATACCTTTAAACGAGCAATTCTTGTATATATTATATATAATCTGAATCTCGGAAACGGCTCCAACGATTTTCATAAAATTTAGTATACAGGGGATTTCGGGAGCGATAAATCGATCTAGCTACGATTTATTTTCAGAAAATGTTTTTTTTATTCGTGTTTTTTTTTTTTTTTTATTGCTTAGATGGGTGGACGAGCTCACAGCCCACCTGATGTTAAGTGGTTACTGGAGCCCATAGACATCTACAACGTAAATGCGCCACCCACCTCGAGATATAAGTTCTAAGGTCTCAGTATATTTGACCCTTCGAACCGAAACGCATTACTGCTGCACGGCAGAAATAGGCTGGTGGTACAGACCCGTGCGGACTCACAAGAGGTCCTACCACCAGTGATTAAAACGTGTTCGTGTTTTCAATAATCAACTTTATGACTCTTCCCGACATCTATTGGCGAATAATATGACAATTTTTCTATTTAAAAAAAAAACCGAACAAAACTCGGTCATCATCTAGTTTTAATTAATATTCCATTGATAATCTCATGCAAACCGCGTTATATTTATGCATCAGTTGTACAGTTATACACCAATTTATCATAACAAGAATACCTCTTCGGGCAGATAATGTTTCTTCAGCAGTTTCACGGCGTCTTCATATCTCCTGTCCTGTAAATCTTCGAACCTAATCCCGCAAGGAACCCGGCCCCAAATTGATGGCGCTTTGATCCTTTCCTCCAATATTTTCATTTTTTCAACATCAGCTTCGGCTGTCTTCGCCATGTTTCTAAAAAAATAAAGTTTTAAGAACTATCTATCAGTTAAATCACTACATAGTATAAAACAAAGTCGCTTTCTCTGTCCCTATATCTGTCTGTCCTTATGTATGCTTAAAACTTTAAAACTACGCAACGGATTTTGATGAGGTTTTTTTAATAGATAAAATGATTGAAGAGGAAGGTTTATATGTATAATAACATCCATGTAATAGTGGAGAAATCAATAATAAATTATAGTTTCCGAAGCGAAGCGAGGGCGGGTCGCTAGTTTAAATATAGTCAACAACTAATTACATATTTTCCTTCAAACAAGCGTTCAAAGCATTCGGCAGACAGCGTCTTGGCTGTGCTCATGGCATCACTAATCTCTAATCTTGCTAACAGAGACTACCAATCAAAAGGCAGTAAGCCGAGATCGTAAGTAAAATATTCACTTTTGGTTTAATATTTGAGACAACCAGCACTTTGCTCTTTGGCTCTTATTAGGTACGTCTAAAATTGTTCATTTACTAATTATTCTTGAATATCTAGACCGAATTTTAAATAAGAATCATGTGATCTCTACAATATAGCAGAGTTTGTGCGCAAGAGGAATATTATAATTATAATTAAGACTATTCTAGAATTTTTTGAAAAAGCCTCATCTTAGAAACATATACCTAACTTTTCTATTCTTTTTTTCACCTTTTATTGCAACTGTAGGAAGACGACTAAGGAAAACGGTCCACCTGATAACAAATAGTCACTGTCGCCCATGGACACAAGCAATGCTAGGGACAAGTCGCAATACTCTTCGCAAGCCTCGTTTGAAGAAGGACATCTCATAGGACTTAAGAAGCACCGCAAAGGGGAGTTTACTCCAAACTCGGTTGGAACGTGGCAGACAAAAACCAAAGGACTCCAACCAAAAGTAGAATCAAAAGATTTAAAAAAACAAGGCTTATTTCATAAATCTCTTTCACTAGACCCTAAAGAAGTGACCGAATTAGATGTCTACAAAATACCAAATAATAAAGATAGAAAATAAAAATGAAAAACACATTACGTCACGTTGTATTGGCAGGGAGCCAAATTCTGCTCATAAATTTAGAACATGGATAATATTTGATTAAGTTGCAGACAATGGATGATAATTATAATATACGGTAAAGTTAGATAGTCTGATTATGGAGGCCAGCGAGATGTTTGTTAAGAACGGTCATAAATAAGAAACAAGGCAGCTATTCGTTTAAAACTACAGGAGAGGTCAAGATCCGGTGAGGACCGGATTGGGGATGAAAACACTAAAATAAAAATTACCATATACTATTCGTTTGGAATTCGAACTCACATTTAATTAAATTCATAATGAATTAAATAGTCTTTTAGGTAAACATAATATCAAAATTATTAATGACAGTTCGCATATTAAATTCAATGTCAAATGTTTGACAATAATTTTTTAAAATCAATTGACAAATACAAAGTGCAAAAAACCTTGTTTTTACATAGTGTTACGCCGATAAAAGTAACGCCATCTATTATCAAATAGCGGAAACACATATCGAAACGATTTGCCTTACCTAGAATGTTCTCGATAATTCTAGGGATGTCGTAGCGACTATAAAAGCGTTGCAGAAATGACACGAAGTTAGTAATTGGATCTACTCGAAGCGAATCAGCGAACGGATTACCTGAGACAAAGCGGAAGAAGTGAATGAGGGATTGGAAAGTGTGCTGTAAGTGTTCTAAGGGTTAAATAGAATTTTAATTTGCAACGATAGAAGTTTTATTTATCGCGAGCCCCAGCGCGTTACAATAGTATAGTGCTAATAAATTTGTAGACAAGAATATCATCACTCAATCGAAGAGCGGCAACAATAAATGTCAGCTCGGATGCAAGAGTTCACGATTCACTATCTGCTTACCGGGTTATAAAAATTAGCATTGAGATACGAAACCGAAGATTTACTTTGCTTAAGACAATGCCCATTTCTCAACCAAACGTACCCTTAAAACTGGAACTCATTATAACCACATGAACAGGTAAGATTTTGGTACCAACCCATAAACCAAACTCTGTGGGTTGATAAACGAGGAATTTATCAGTAATGGAAATTTTCTGTAGATTGCATTTTTTCCCCCAACCTAATCGTTGGTAGCATAAGAGGCTATTTTAACGCGTGCATCGGTAGGTGGGCTCAACCTGTGAAAATTGCAAACAAATGCCCTAGAAAGAGCACCGCCTCGCCAAATCTTTCACTGGATCGGAATCGCGACCCACTGAGAAGATCCGACGAGAAACTCAGTTCGGAGGCGCTCGGGCAGCTGTTAGCAAATCCCACCCCTTCTAGCTGAGCCCGTGTTCGCCCACCTGTCCTGGTGAAACTGGAAAGGCCTCCGGGTCACCAGTAATCCTTCACAGTCGGTCTGTTTGGACTGACTGGACTATATTACTTACAAATTAAACGATTAAAATCTAAATACAATAGAATACTTCGATTTCAATTCAATAGATGACTTAATTTCCAGAGACGGTTAACAAAGTCAAACAAGCACTTACAAATGCAATCAAAAGGTGAAATGTCTTACGGCGAGTTTGCGGAGCAATCAACGCATTTCATCTCACTAATTGTACGGTGACAATGATTCATGTACATTGTCGTTGCCTAATGTGACTATACCGGTCTGAGTACAGAGATGACGTATGATAGGTCTGAATGGAAAAAGAGGCTATAATAAAGACAAGAAGAATATGTTTGTTTGTAATTTAATCATACGGCTCTCCTATTATGTGTATTAATAATAAAATAAACTAGTGATAGTATCTATACTAATATTATAAAGAGTTTGTTTGTTTGAACGCGCTACTTTCAGGAACTACTGGTCCGATTTGAAAAATTCTTTCAGTGTTAGATAGCCTATTTATTGAGGAAGGCTATAGGTTATATAATATCACGGTAAAACCAATACAAGTGGAACACTAATAAAGACTGTTTTAAAATAGGAGTTTAAATAGCTCCTTAACGTTCTATAATTCAAAAATATTTTCACACTCTACGTAAATGAAGTGGGGGGTAAAATTTAGCGTTATGCCAAAGTAAATATTTCAAGCGGACGGAGTCGCGGACAAAAGCTAGTTAATATATATTTTTCGCAGAATGGGACGATATCTATACATATAAATAAAATTAGTGTGTCTGTTTTTAATATTGAAATAGCCGCTTTTTACTACATGCATATGAATATATATACGGTACATACACCAAAATAACATTTTTTACAATTTTTGTCTGTCTGTTTGTTCCGGCTAATCTCTGGAACGTCTGGACCGATTTTGACGGGAGTTTTGATCACTGATAGGTTTGCTGATGATATAAAGAGTAACTTAGGCTACTTTTTTAGACTAGCTTTGCCTCGCGGTGTCACCTGCGGCACGACAATAACCGCGGGTAACATCGCGGGACTCATCTATCAATAATAAAATTTAATTTTTCCGAAGCGAAGCGAGGGCAGGTTGCTAGTCTTCATTATTTTTTGACATAGTGGCCGTATGGTGGGTATTCGTGAAAAAAATTAGCGCAGCACGAAACAATGACAGTTCTAATAATTCCAAGATGTCTTCATTCTTCCTATGTCAGGTAATGAATTTGTCTCGATTCCACTCGAGCGATGATACCTCGACTCTGCCGAAGGACACCCGAACTGAGCCGATGTTCGACGAGTAGTTGCAGCTCGCATCCACTAGGTGTTTTTTTATTGCTTAGATGGATGGACGAGCTCACAATCCACTTGGTTTTAAGTGGTTACTAGAGCCCGTAGACATCTACCACGTAAATGCCGCCTTGAGTTCTAAGGTCGCAGTAAAGTTACAACGGCTGCCCCACCCTTCAAACCGAAACGCATTACTGCTTCACGGCAGAAATAGGCAGGGCGGTGGTACCTACCCGTTCGGACTCACAAGACGTCCTACCCCCAGGCTTCAGAGTCGTTTCTGTATTAATTTTAATTGACTGTTTTTTTTTTTTTTGTATATATTAATAAATTTCTGTTCTTCTAATAATCATTGTCACCGTATTTTGCGGAGTTAGAGCGAAGCAGGTGCGTTCGTTCCGGTTAAATAGGGGCTTAACTGTTCGGGCCGGTTCTTGTAAATAAATTTGTTTACTTGTTCCACGACTCGAGTGTACTATAACGATATGATGTTTTGTCTGTGTGTTTTGCGTGTACCGTAATATGTTTTGTTTTTTGTTACGACTAGCCGTACTCGTCCGCTTCACTGGTCATTTAAAATTTACATTATTATTTATGGTCATTATTATTAGGGAGTCCAACACTCTTGCTTTTATTATCATATATATTTTTGATGTATTGCTTTTTTTCCCCTACCTATTCACTGGTAGCCTAAGGGGCTATTTCCGCTACGCTGGTAGGTGAGCTCTTAAACTGAGAGAATTTGCTAACACTAGCCCTAGCTAGAACAGTGCTTCGTAGAGTCTACCACCGGATCGGAATCGCGACCCACTGAGAAGATCCGGCGAGAAACGCAGTGGGCTTAGGTTAATTCGCTCATCGAGCTCTTCGTCGTAACTGATAAGTTCGACGAGGACGGTTACCGGTGCTTAAGGGACCTAAAAGCACCGAGAGTGTATCCGGGGGATCCGACAAGACATATTTCGGGCGACGGTGGCTATGCGTTGCCGTGGCCGCTGTCGCATAAGTGGTATATCCAATTTGAAGTATTCCAACTGAAGATGTCACATTATCCTCTCCCAATTTCATTTCGTATGATAAACTGCCCAATGACTAATTCTGCATGGTGGAAAATTATGCATCACATACATTTGAGTATGATGACATGGCCAAGAGAAAAATTAAGAAGCTATTGGAGTATTAATGTGGACTGCGGCTGAAAGTTCGAAGTATAGAACAGGATAATGACATTTGACGCAGCCCCTTATAACTAAGACTAGATGATGACCGAGCTTTGCTCTTGATAACGCCATCTTGTCGTATCTTCAAAGC